AAAACGCATAAAGCAAAAGTGTAGAGTAGCCATAACTTTTAATGGTAAAAAACACAAACGTTTTCGGGCATCTCCCTTCATCAGGTGGTACAGATAAAAAATATAGCGAGTAAAATACACTCAATGCGGACGTAGTATTAATATTACATATATATATATATATATATATATATATATATATATATATATATATACACAAACAACTTCAATAGATTTTAAGTACAATGATTTATTCATAACCTAAATATTTCTGCCACTCCTGTAGCCTTTATCAGGTACAGGTACATATCATATTTATTATATAAATAAATTATTACTGAATATAAATTCTGTTAACCTTTAAAATGTGGGTCCACACTCAGCTTTTTTTGACATTGATTAACGGTACTGTATAAGCATTCATCTTTGACGAGCTGAGGCCATTTTACCTTGTGTATCATGTATCCTTAATTCATTAATGTTGTATACATTCAATACCTCATACAGATGACATCACTACCCCGAAATAACCAAGTGCAAAAGGTGGATTTATTCATGTTGTATACATTTAATGTAGTTACTTGTAAATATCTTGAAAGAAACAATCAAAATGATGCCACTAACAATATTAGCTGCATGATACTGACAACAGAGGGCAGCAGACTGCATTTCAGCTGCACTTCCTAATTTCATATTTCAATATGAACCCTTAATGAACAATATTTTGCAAACCTACCTGTATGATAAATGACGTAGCCTGCAGTTGTCGAGACAGTAATTGTTGAGCTATGTTGAACATACAGTATCATATTTCTAACAGCATATTTTCAGTTTCTAACTAAATTGACATTACAGAATAAATATTATTTCTAGTACTGGTCACATACTTCTACTAAAGTTTGATATATGTACATATGGCCATAATACATTAAAACATACTACCTACTCCTGTGAGCCACTTCTCTCCTTAACTCGCTCTCATTCTTTAATAATTCTACTCTCTTTTCCTTTAAATTGCAACTAAAATCCTCCCTCAAACTTAATAAATCATCCACTTCATTGTCCATTGCTCTCTGCTGCCATGGTGCCCTTACTTATTAATAATTTATTTATTTTCTTTTTTATGTAATTTTTTTTTTGTATTATTCTACTGAACACAGAGGGCCTCTTCTAGTCAGTTTTGTGCTGATTTAACCTCTTTAAATATAGTATAATAAATAAATAAATATGATACTGGATATATACACTGACATTCATGTTGTATGTATTCCACATAAATCCATAGACACATGAAACCCTGGGCAAAAAGAGTTTATATGCGTGATTAAAGGAACATGCACACAACGACACAGCATGGTATGCCATCAAATGAACATACTGCAACATGTGGGTATTAACGAAAGGAAGGATTCGTTTTGTCGCAAATCCATGGATAATACTATATAAACTCCAAATCAATGTTGATGATAAGCCATGCCTAGACACGGAGGCGGCCGAAACCATCAAAGTGGCTAGTGTACCTCAACAATCGGACATAATTTATATAAGTGTAACATTTCACATACAAAATAATATTTACTTTTTGCAATAAATCTAAAAATGTCAACATTAAAACCAGGAATTGCTGTTTTGTGCTCAGTAAATCTGTCGAAAAAAGACATATTAATCACGAAATCGAAGTCACTGCAAATATTATTAGACCAATTGTAGGTTTACATAACCTGGATAAGAGTTATGCAGAATAAATGTGACAAAAGTCATCTAAAGTTCAAGAAATATCTTAGTTTTTAAGTACTTTATTCAACATTTCCAAAATATCAGACACTATATAGCTGGAATGTTACATATAAAATGCACATAACTACAACAAAATCTGAATATTCTATTAAAATTTTAATATCAGGTTTGTTTTTATTGTATTCACAAATAAAAAAACAACACAAACAATGAATGGATGAATAATAAATACAACAGAAAAAAATACATAAAATAAATTTTACAGCAATACATATACAGTATAGACTATACTCCTAAGTGGGAGCTGTTTGTGCACCGTGGCGGCTGCGTTTCAGTCTCTGAACCTTGAGGTTGGTGTTCAAACCTTCGCTGTGTTTTTCGCTTATGTTCTTAGGCAAGGCACTTTACCTATGTTTGTTTCTCTCCTCCTAGGATTATGTGTACCTGATTCGCTACTAGGAAGAAAAAAACCAGCATGGAAAGGAACTGGCCACCCTGCCACACAATGCCGAGATTTAGTACGATGGGCTAACAGCTCATTCCCCTACATTCAGTAATGAATATGGGACTACCTTTACTTTTAATCCTAATTGTAACAAGAAATGATAAGTGAATAGTGATGAAAATTATATGCCAATATTTTACCTGAATTTTTAATTTTAAAAAAATAAATAAAAAGAATAAATATAAAAATACCAGGTAAGTTTCTGCATGTGAAACTCTATTTCTCAGCTTTGACACCAAATCTTTGTAGTATTAATAGAGCATTTCAAATTTTTAAATCTATTTCCCGCATGACATTCAAACATAATTTCTGATTTACGAGTCAATTCCTTGGGTAGATTAGAGGGGAAATGTTAAACACAAACACTGCTGTTTTACAGTCAACAAGTTATGAAAAAATAACCTCAAATTAATAACAAACATATTAAAAAATTGTTTACAGGTTTAGTAATGAATCACAGCACTAAATTTGAAGAATTGTGGGTTTTGTGTCAAAAATAATACAGAATGACATCATGCATGAAATATTAATTTGTATATATTAAACACTACAAGGTCATGATGATATCATAACATACTCATACAGTATAAGGGCATGATGGTAACATGTCACATCCATATATAGGCATGATGATGTCTGCGCATAATATTGCCCATAGTTCATGTCATGATGATGTCATAACATATCCATATAAGGGCATGATGATAACATATCACATTCATATATAGGCATAATGAAGTCTGTGCAAAATATTGCCCATATTTTATGGTTGTACAGTACTGATCACCGAACGTCCGACATAGATACGTGTGGGCCACGAGAATAATTTGCGAGTGACACGCGTGTGATAAGCTCATGAATAACTAATGACAAAGTGACCTATTTGACATTTGTTTATCCAAGCATTACGGCATTGAGTAAAATGATGATGATGATAATGATGAGGATGATGATGATGATAATAATGATGATGATAATGATACGGTGTCTGATGGTGACAATGATGATGATGATAATGATGAAGGTGATAGTATTGATGTTGACTCTAATTTATAAACACGCTTTAAAAATGACAACATTTACCCTTTTCTTAACAAGGTAACAAAATTCCTCTTGATATGTACAAACACAACCTTAATATACCAAGAGTTTACATGTACAATGAAATAGGGCGAACATTTTATAAAGGACTGAATCACTTAGTGACTATTCTTTATGGCTTTATAGAAATATTCATCAAGACCATTTTGGCAACTAATCAATCATTTGTAGCCTATTATTAAAATAATATGACAAAATAGTTAAGACCAAAGGTCATAAGCTATAATTTTTTGTTGCATGTTTAATAGCAATTGAATAAAGTAAAAGTTTCAAAAGCAAAGTATGTTTTAAAGGCATGAGATTCAAAGGGAAATGGAGGAGGGTAAGCTGGAAGGAATTGGAATATAAGGGGCTAGGATGAAATATGGTATTATAGGAGTAAATAGGAAAGGTGCAAGGTACAAACGAGGTAGGGGGGAAAAATAATAGGTGGGAGAAACGGGCGGATCCAGAGGGGGGTCCACGACGTCCGGACCCCCCTCAATTTTTGAAGTGCCCCTTTTTACCTGATGATAAAACGCAAACTACTGTAAAAATAAATAACTTAAAACATAAGTATTTAAATTTTTAAAAAAAATTGATGATGAATAATCAATTATTCAACGAAAGGAATATATTGACATCTGGTGTTAAGTGCGTCTATTTCAAACAGAGTGCATTTATTTTATTTCTGCCAGGACATCACTTGCCCGATGTCCCCGACGACGATACCATAAAGTGGGCGTGTGGTCGGATGTCGCTCAAAAATGAAGATTGGTCTACTGTATTGTATTACGAGTGTTAAATTATTATTTTCATTATTACTAATAGTTTCCATTGTTATTGATATTGATCTTATTTTTTATCTAAACCCTCTGTACATCTCCGATAAAACTATTTGTTTTACTTCACGTCCTGCCCCTGTTGCTACACCATCCGTGATGCCTTTTTTTTTTCCTGGACCTCCAACAACCTAGCAAAATACTTTGATAAATCATAAGGAAACATGTTTACACAGTTCACACAGTTGAGTGCTTGAGCAAAATCTTGAATTTCCCAAGTGGAACATTTGTCAGGTTTTATAGCAGTGGCTTACCTGGCTCTTGTACATCATCAGGTGTTGCCACCATGCAACATCAGTTGCATGTTAAACATCTTATTTTGATTACCATTCAATGGAATTATATTTCCACATAAAAAATGTGAAATCTAAAACAAAATCATGAAATAAAATAAACAATAATAGTAATAATAATAATAACAATAATAATAACAGCATGTATAATGATAATAATTAATAATTAACAATAATAATAATAATAATAATAATAATAAGGCTCCATAAAAAAAATTATTAGTTTATCACCCGCTCCCTCATCACTTTTGGGAAAAATCAGATTTTTTTTTTTTTTCAATCAAAATATATTTTTATTTCAAACGGTCCTTTTTCCATCTTTTTAACTTGAAAAGCTCAGGGTTTCTTGCAAATATGTTTACTGGTACAACAAAAACATATTTTTTAAATATAAATTTGATTCTATTCTTATGACTTTTTATATATGTGTCCCTAACCATTGATTTACTTGTGATCATCGGTAAAATTGGGGCGGGATTAGCAAAAAAAAAAACAAACAAAAAAAAACTCCCTCCCTCAACAGTTTTTATTCTTTGATAGGGTGATAAACTAATAATTTGTTTATGGGGCCTAATATCACTGAGATTAAAGATAGCATTGAGGGTGGAAATGTTACTGGGTTTGAGATGGCACTGGGGCGCGGATTTACATCATCTGGATTTCACAGGAATCCTAAAAAAAATTCATCTTTTAAATGTTGCTTTTATATACCTAACATGCTTTAATTATAAAACTTAAATCAATCATTTATCTTATAATGTTGCAAAAATTATTTTCTTATATTATTACCTTCTTGTTTTTGCAGAGAAGATGAAATTAAATTATATGACAGGGTCATTTAATACAATCTGTAATTTTTATTTTTTAAATAAAAATGTGGATAAATAAACAAAAATTCTAAAGGAATGTTTCATGAATCACTGGTTGCTTGAAGACTTTAATGTACTGAAATCAATTCAGTACCTCAGATGAATGTTGGGATTGACCCAGATGCATGTTGGGATTGACCCAGAATTGATGAAGGTTAATTTTTTTGTAGCATTTTGGTTGAATGAGAAAGAAATTTGATTGAGGAGGTGGCATTTCATACAAAAACAAAAATTAATTCTATTATATTTATACGGTAATCAAGGATTTTAAAATATGATAGAATTTGAATAGGAGGCATAATTCAAGTGGCAGAACCAAAATTTAAAATTATTGTAGGCCTAATCAAAAGGAGGGGCAGAAAAAGGTGCACATTCCTCATAAATGTCCCTCTTACCAACACAAAGCATGAACAATACAGATCATAAAAATAATACAAAGCAATGCCAATAATAATGAAAAATTAATTTATACTTCACCTTTTAGGTTACACCCAACCACCAACAGACATTTATTTATAGAAAGATGATACAATATTGTAATTGGCATGTCATTTCAGAAATAAAATATATATTTATCGTAATAAATTATAGTACAAGGTTGTAAATAGTGTGTTTTTGTACATACCTTTGCACCACACACTGCATTGGCCTGGAAAGCCATCAATCATTTTGAAAAAGAATTTCTCATATTTTGACAGGCTCTGTAACTTCTTTTAGTTTCTCTAGTTATTCAATCACCTGAAAGGCCACATAAGTTGAAAATGTGTTAAAAACACATACAATCAAAGTATCAAATGCCCAACACCACGAATGACATAAAGCAGTGAAAGCAGTCAATTCCCAGAGGGCGTGCTTCATTATGTAGTTCTGAATTTTTGAATTAATAAGATTTCATAACATAGTCATTGTAAAAGCCAATAACACAGCATATAACTGAACAGGTGGTAGACTCGAGGTTGGTGGAGGTGAAAAATAATAAAGAAAGAAAAAAACAGACCAGGTGAGGTATTCCTCCTGACAATTCGTTTGACAAGCTTTTGCTGGAAATGGCATCCAAAGGTCAAACCATGCAAAAGAAAAAAATAATACAAAAACACCAGTGTTACAGACTGATTGCCTATTTAGTCTCAATAACATCCAATCAGAATTAGGGATTTGTTTCACCATTGCCTTAAATGTAACACACTGGACTACATCCTAGGCTAAGTACTACTAATTACTTCTAAAGGCTTCAACTTGAGCAGGCTTAAGCCTAGCTATGTATCCCTCTCTCTAGTACTAACCTAGTTTGAAGGCCTATGTACTACTAACGAATGCTTTATCCCTACTAAAGCCCCGTTTTATAAACGACACCACCACACACACCTATTAGTTACGTCTGGTAGGTACTACCAGTTCTGAGTACCAGAGTTAGAGCTGGTTAGATGTTTGGAGTAGGCCCTACTGTGCCCAGCGATAGAATTGGTTATACTGTATCATTTAATATACTAGGCCTATACAAAAATTTGTATATTCCTACTTCTCTAAATAAATTTATATTACAATAAATATACCTTTTTTCGACAAATAATAGAATTGATAAATCTGCCTAATAGTCTCTCCTGTCTATTTTCTGTACTACTACACTGTGCGCATGTGCAGCGACTCAGCAGTTAACTCAGTGCGCTCACTGAAGTGCGCTCAGAATAATTATTTAGGTCTCAAATTCACATTGTTTGCAGAGGATTTTTTAAGCACGATATTTTTTAACATCCTACGTCGATTAACTGATTAATCGAGTTCATGGTGAGAATTACTTTAATTAAAAATTTCAAGGATAATTGGAAATTATAGAGGGCAGCAATCATGTTGTTGCAAAAATGTCAGTTCTCGCCATCTCGCCAAATCTTCGTCAAAGAATCTTAACCCGCGTGACAAATATAATAGAGGGCGGCAAACTAAAATTTACCAATATCAGAGCTTTATTTTAAATCACAATTCTGTCAATCACAATTAATCTAATGTCAATCTTTAACGTAAATTTAATTAACTTTTAAAAATCTGCCATGAATCTGTGTTTACATAGATGCGTAGCTAAATAATGGGGGGGGGGGGTGGACGGAGCGATAAACCCGAGTGTAATATTTGAGATTGGGGGAACATGCCTTTAAATACTCCACTACAGAATTCCGTATCTTTTTTTAAGACAAAGCCTATCTTCGTCGGGGAGAAAAAAAATTATATGTAGGTCTATTTTGTACTATTAATAGACTCTAAAATCGATTAAATAAGCATTTGAAACCCCTTTCAAATGCTTATTTAAACTTTCGAAAGGTTTTTAGCGACGCCCGACCACGTCCACTTTTTTCTCGTCGGGGACATCGCCCCCCCCCCCCGTCGAGGACCTTGGAGGCCCCCGTAGCTTATGATATCGCAAAGTATCATTGATCTCATATGGTATAACATATTGTATATAATATGTGCATTGAGGAGTAGATAGCTTATAGGCTCCTCAAGGAAATTCGATAGTAGGAAGTTGTGTCGGTCGCCACTCCTCCCAATACGTTAATAGGTTGAATAACCAGAACTAGCTGATAACAGAATATATCAGTCTGCTGGCCTCTTTAAACCTACAATCAGTGGCGTTTCATTTATTTGATTTTATTTCATTTATTTTTCTCAACATATACAATATACAATACATTGAAACAGTAAAGCAAACCATAACAAATGGCCCATAAACATATTAAAAGAGAGATGAAGACCAAAAAGCGAACTGAGTCAACCATCAATGGTTTCCCTTTAAAAAAAAAA